TCCATATTCAGGGTGGATTGAGTCCTCATCCTTTTGGATTGTGGTCCTTGGTCTTGACACCAATTTTTTATGTGTCTTTGTAAGTCATGAATGCTATCAAATACTAAACCACAATCATCACACGATACCATGTTGTCCTGTTGAACTTCAGATTCCAAATAAGGGTGGTTCATGATATCGCTAGTATTTATAGATGTAGTTGGGTGTTTGACTTCTGAAATGTCCTGCATTTCAATTGGACGTTTGGAATCATTCATTGGTTGCTTGAAGTTGTTGGAGTAATGAGGATCTTTCAATTCACCTTTATCATTGTTAAAGACATTTGGTTTCAACCTGTTGTGTTCTGGGGTTTCTTGCTTTAGATCAAGAAGCAGGTAGCCATAGGGTCGGCTTGTGGCGCTGGTATAAGCTCTGACCAACTTGTTTCCATTTCCGGGATACATTTGCCTAGATAAGAATGCCACCTGTTGGCGATCTCTGGGGTTATTAAATAGTATCATATAGTGAGAGTTTAAACTCATTGATCTGTTCATTTTCCCCTGGTGATACATATTCTGGAGGAGGCAAATCACAGACAGATTTCGATGGTGACTTCCTTTGCTATAGAGGTCACATATTCTTTGGTCATTTGTTGCTTCATTCATGAGATCATCAAGTAGTATCAAAGTAGGTGATGAAGTGTCAAGATATCTAGGATCATCGATGTCTTCTGGTATCCCCTTCACAAATTCCAAATTCGGGTATTTTCTTAGCTGTTCATAGGCGGGTTGCCATTGACCATAACACCAGATTATTCTTCTTGGAAATGGAGATATAAACCGTTCAGCATTTTGGATCAAGTACTTCATGAGCCAAGTCTTCCCCGAGGATGTTGGTCCAGCTGGAAATACAAAATTTATAATACTTAATAAATTGTCACAATTATTTACGATTTTTTTTACATCTATTAGAATTTACTGTATTTATCATGCCTACCTGCTATCATAGTAAATGGATGTTTCAGCATAATATCAGGTTGAGGCATATTTCTCCCATGAAATTTATTCATATGTCGAGCAAGATTATCAGCTCTCGTGAATTTCACACAGCACTCATAACAATCAAATGACATGTTGTCTGTTCAAGAACTATCAGTAGAATGACTCAAAACATAGACAACTTAAATTATATAAATATATTTTGAAGTAAAACATTTTGATTGGTTTAAAAACCACTTATTCAAATCAATTGTAAATAAACTAATGGGATTACATTACATAGAAGGGTATGGGTCGTGTTGGGTAGTGGGTAGGATATAGGAGAAGATATAGAGAGGAAGTGAGGGAGGGTGGGAGGAGGAAAGGGGAACCAGGGAGGAGATAGGGAGGGATTGAAATGAACTGGGAGATAGGGAGGGAATGGGAGGAACTGGGAGGAGATAGGGAGGGAATGGGAGGAGATGGGGAGGGAATGGGAGGAACTAAGAGGATATAGGGAGGGAATGGGAGGAACTGGGAGGAGATAGGGAGGGAATGGGAGGAGATAGGGAGAGAATGGGAGGAACTGAGAGGAGATAGGGAGGGAATGGGAGGAACTGGGAGGAGATTGGGAGGGACTGGGAGGAACTGAGAGGAACTGGGAGGATGCGCGAAGGAGGAGGGTGGAGAAAGATATGAACAGCATATATACCTATTTATTTTGTAATGTCCATGAGCCAACGTTGTGATGCCATCATCAAGTACGTATCTCTTGTCATCATATGGATTTAGACTGATTTTGTTGATGTCCATCATAAAGATTTCATGCCTGATTGACCGAAACTGTTTCATTCTAGACATCATTAGCTGGTTGTTTAACACAGCATCCCTGTAGTCATCGTGTGTGATGGTGTTTTTCACAACACATTTAGTCACACCTTTAGCTGTTTTCTTTGCCTGACCTTTGACTAAGAGTGAATACATTTTGGGCTTTAGTCCAACAAATTCTGAAGGGGATGAGCCAGCAGTCTCGTCTTTGAACTTCCCAATAATTTTCTTATTCTTGTTAGAAAACAGTGGGTGTTCATTAGGGAAATCGGATGTGTCATACATGTCGAAGTCATCTCCCATGTCTTTGTAGATGTCATCAGTATGAATGAAATAGCAGAGAGAATCTGTATCGGTGAAAAGTAGCTTGGCATTCAAGCCATACTTAGGAATGATGTGTCCATAGTGGAAATCATACATTAGTGTCTTACTGACATCTAAGATAGTGAAGCCACAGTAAATGGGACGATTAAGGTATAGCTTTGTCTTCAACTTCTCAACTGCGGCTAAACCATCATTAAAAATGCTGAAGGAGTGAAATGACGGTTTGCACACCAGTTTCTTCAATCTCAGCTCTCTATGCACGAGCTCAATATCCCTCCTACGACGTAAATTTTCCATTGTCTTCCCGAAGACACTATAAGTATAAAAGAAAATATAGATGTACAAATAAGTGTAAGATTAAAATTGTTATGATTTTGTTTAACAATAACATGACTATAATTGTCTTAGTGATGCAGAGGCTTACCTGTTATTCATGAGCTTGAAGAAGTCTTTTTCAAAGGCATTTTTTGCTAATTTTCGTCTTTCTGTATTCAGATCGATGTAAGGTTTCAACCATCTTGACTGTTTAAAGGTCATCACACGATGGGTCTTGATCAGGGTCAAACCATATTTCAGATACTGTTGGAGGTTTCTGTAATGTAATATATATCTCTCTTTGCTCTGCAGATTTGGCACAAGCTTTCTTGTTGTTCCATCACTTAAATGAAGATCACTGGCTAAAGTTTTGCAGAAAGGAGATAACATTTCTTCTTTGATTTCAAGTGATTCTGGAGCTAAGGGATAATCAGAGTGTGTGTCGTGTAATTCATCAGGATATTCAAGATCAACCTCAAGGATGTAGCCATCATCCGAATCCGTAGATATCTTGCTAACGTCTAAAGCAGCTGTTTCTTCGTCATTCAGCCATTTGAATCCATGAGTTGGTAATGGCTCTCCCATGGCCCATCCATATAGGTTATTGGCGTCGAGGTATGAAATGTAAGAATTCGGCTCTTGAGGTTGGTAGTCGGGTAAATAAGGGTTGTTAGCCTTGGCAAAACGGTGAGATATCATTGAAATTCCTCCCCTAAGACCAGATTCAATGAAGAGATGCATATCAGGGTCTGTGAATAATTCTAACTGCACTCCAGTGAATTTAAGAGCGGCATTCCATGATAAACCAGGTGCAGTGTAGTAATGTGCTGGATCAAGACCATAGAGATCCATGGAGAGAGATCTAAAATTTTCAAATATGTCCGCAAGGAGGATAACATCTGTCTTCAGATATAAATCATGGTATTCGTGGAAAGTTTTCATTCCAAACTTCTTCCACACCGCTGTAGCATGTTGAAAGTCTGCGTTACTTAATGACTCATCTGATAGATCATTATAAAATGCGTGTTGTGTTGGAAGTTCTTGTTTGTCAAATTTTTCAGTAGTGTCAAACCAGGAATAGGGAAACACACCTTTCCTCAATAATAAGTCGATATATTCTGGGTTTGAAAATTCACTTTGCAAGTACTTGAACTTGGTTACACCTTCTTGGGTGAGATTCTTTGTTAACTTATCCAATGAGGTTCCCAGAAATTGATATGAATCTATGAAGTCCATCGAGCCCATAGAAAAGGAAATGTACTTTTCCATGTTGGTTGGTATGACTTTAAGTGAGCCGTGTTGATAAAGTGATATTGATTGCATAATCAAATGGGCGTCATAGTTCTGAAAATAAAAAAAGAAAGTAAAATAAGTTTATATTTATATAGACAATATTACATAGACCATGCTTAAAGCATTTATGTCTACTGTTAACTAAATAATCATTTGTAACATTTACATCTTATCGAGACATTAATTTAATACATACCTTTAAATTATGAAAGACAACTGGTATTTTCCCTCTGAACCGGAAATTGACGTTGCATGCATTATGCGCTGCTCCCCTGAATTTACCTAAAAGAGGTAGATAAAACATAAGAGTATATAAATGCAATGCTATATATGTTAAATACCTAATTATATCATTATTAATCTAAACCAATTTAAAACTATTTTCTTACCTGTAACATGGTCATGATCACGTACTCTGTCATCACCCATGGGTTTCTTGCATATATGGCAATCTACTGCTTTGTTAAAAGCTCTCCAGTCATCTGGTTTCATATCAATAGGTTTGGGGTTCTTGTACCAAAGATCAATTTTATCCTGAACCTTCACCATGTGCTGAATGAATGTATCTGTGACGTTGTCACCACTATATACAACTGTTGGTTTGGTGAAGTTATCTGTTGGTCCAACTACTTTATACGCAAATCCAGAGGGAGTGTGCTTAGTCATCTTCTGAGTGTGTGATATACTAGGATCTTGTTGACATCCTTGTATCTTCTCTGTTGCTGCTTCGAAATCAGCATAAATTATCCATGGAGCTTTTAATTGCTTGGCAACATCGTTGAAGTAAAGCCATTTATCATCATCAGAGGGCATTTCAATCCTTTGAGGACCATACAACTGGCAATGTTTGACATGTTTTTGAAGAAGATCACTCCTCTTAAATCCGTGAAGACAATAGTCACAAAAGAAACGTTTTCCATTGTGGCGTGTTGTGTGACTGAGTAAGCGGCTCATATTCTTAATCCAGCAGAAGTGTGATGTGCTATGGTTAGAGATGAGTAATAAATTCACGTGTCTATCTAGTCTCTGCTTGGTGATGTGCAGAGGGAATACCTCTTTATAATATCCAAATACATTGACCGAGATGTTGTTGTTTATTTCAAATTTTGATATGTCAGTTATTTGTACAGGGTAGTTAATACCTTCCATATTAAGCTTTGAAGCCAATCCCTTGTATTTGGATACATTTTCTGTGTGCTTTTGTTGGGGGTAGAGGGCAGATAGTATAGCCCAAAGAAAGCATCTCCTATCCCGGTTTTGCACATTCACTATAGCTCTTTTCCCTCTTAAAGCAGATATGAAATGGTATTTTTAACCCAAAAGGAATCAATATAATTTTTTGATAGATGTATTTGGACATGTTTTCTCATCAGTAGTGTGGAAATTATTTTACTCTAACGATCGTTATTAGCTGCTTAATAAGCAATATTCGAATTGGTTGTGACGTTATTGGCCCCCACGTGATCTCTCACTGGTCCCCACATGGCCCGTTTTGGTCCATTGGATCATGACGTCATAATGCCGAAATGTTTTGTTATTAGTTTACACAACAATCCTATGGTTGCCGTGACGTTGTGATTACTAAGAAACCAATAAACCAAAGCTATATTTTGTATATGACGTTACTAATCACGTGGGGGCCAATTTGATTAATCAGTTAGTTTTATTTCGTTATCTATGACCGTTAGCAGTTATCTAACATTTATTTTATAATGGCTATCGCAAGAACTCTACGTTGGGCTTACAATGGAGAAAACCGCGTTTTTGTAGCTGCAAGTTGAGATAAGTTATTTCAGTTGTCCTTTAATGTTAATGGTGTTGGTATATATGACGAGCCTCTTATAGGTTTATAAACTGCCATGTGAATTTTGAAACTAATAACGAAATCAAGCTGCCAGGCAGATCCCTCACGTTGGTATTTTATAAAAGAATCATATATCTTTTTGACAGTCTCCTGCCAGGCCTCATTCAAATCGATTGGTTTCATCATTGTATAGCATCTACCTCTGAAATGTGGACGTGCAATCTCTGTTTCCTCCTTTTTCTCTTTTTTGAATTGGACATTTATGGCACCATACCATTTGATTGCCCCTTTCTTTTTCATTTGTTTTAGCAAAACACTTTTTATCTTAGACTCCTGTTCTTTGAATAAACGTAAGGGATCAAATTTAGAGAGACCTGATATCTTGATAGTTACTGTCTTTAAAGCTCCATTTAAGCCTTCCTCAAATTCACATTCGTCTTGTTCATTGGTTGATTCTTGTTCTCCAATGTCTGCAATCCGAGGTGATGATCCTGACGATTGAGATAAGGTATTAGGCTCGCTTAATGGTATAGTCTCCGTTGATGAGGGAGGATTGTCAGTCATAGGCAAATTTGTACTTTGATCAGCAGATGACATTTCTGTTGATTGATCCTCTGACGAAGCTGGTAATGCTGTTTCTGATGCCAATGGTCCGGCTCCTATTTGGTTATGACGTGAAATAACATGATTTCTCAAGCTTTCACTTCTGTGAAATACACTTTCACATTCAGTGCATTTATGTTCAGGTGTTTTGTGAAGCTTTTCATGTCTTTTCAATCTATCTTTCCTCGAGAATAGCTTTCCACAGTGACACTGATATGTCTCATGATTCTTGTCATGTTCCAGACGTTTATGCCTTGCTAAACTTACAGCTTGTTTATATTGTTTCCCACAGTGACAGGGGTATGTTGCATGTACGGCAGGCATAGTTCTGTGTACTCCTGGAAATAACATCTCAGAACTCTTATTACATCTTGATCCCTCACATTAATTATACAATTTTTTCTTGTAGCAAATTAATTTAATAAACTGATAATTTCCAATTAGTATTCTATGTTTGTTATTTACATTTCATATCATATATATAAAAACATTTACATTGATTGTGAATGTAAATCGTATGTGCATTACTATATCCCAAGTATACTCAAACTAATTTAAGGCTATCAAACAAAGTTTACTCACTTTCACTGTAGCAATATAAACCCTATTAATTATTAATCCGTGTAGTCTGAATCTGATTGTTGTGTTTTCGTGTTGAGTGATATTATCTAAAGTCCAAGCCAGCCAACAGTCTGTCTATTGTGTCCTTATTGTAGTATCTAATTCTGTATTTCCTTCTATTTCCTCCTCCAGTTTTAGGTCTTGTACCCAGGTGATTCCATCAGCAGAATGAAGAAAAATTGTAACGTAATGTCTTTTATAATGATTTGATCTGAAATGTATCAGCCTCGTTATGATATAATGATTTCATTGGATAATACTAATTACAAGAGGGTAATCCCCTTAAAATCCAGTTTAAACAAGTTTGGTTTTTATACTGAATAATCGTTTGAATTAAATCCTCATAAAATTCATAAAATTAACTGTTATTTGATACTCACCTTATCTACATACTCACCCCATACAATCCTTAATATGTTGCCTTTCGAATTTTCTAAATAAATTAATTTTATTTAAAAATATTCGACTGTTTAATTTTCACATCCATGCTATTCTGTGTACTGTCCACGTATGGTAATGTATCATAGACGATGTACTATAACAGTACATATTATACATACTCCCCAGCCAGGCTATCTTACATTGAACCTGATAATCAGTATAAGTGATTTAAGGCTGCATGTATAGTCTAAAAATAGTTAGCCAAGTGGTCTTATCAGATATCCAAACAAACACATCTTGGCGGTAAATCAAATAGCTAAGGTCAATAAGAAGTACCAGTATAAGAAAGTTCGGTAATAAATAACTGACCGTTGGTGGCCTAGTGGTTAAGGCGTCGGACTAGTAAACTGGCGTCCTGGGTTCGATATCTGGTTGAACCGACAGAAAGCATTTTATTAAAATTCCTTATAACTGTTGAAAATCCCCGGGAATAGTGTGTACCTGGGGGCTAAGCGAAGCTGCCCCCAGGGGCCCCCAGGAAATCCGGTTATCTCTCTCCTTTAGACTACTACTGCTGGAAAGGGGATTTCATCTTCCTCTTTCTACCACACTTCAATAGGTGTACACATACGTTTTTTATCTCCAACACAATCCACCACAATAGTTCAACATGGTAAGCCATCCATTCTTTATTTTACATTTATGTATTTCAATTCACATTTATCAATCAATTACAGCATATATTTTGGGTATTCTCTGTCATTTTATCACATATTATCAACTTAGAAATGTGTTCATCGTTTTATACAGTTATCTGGCTACCACACTTCAATAGGTGTACACATAAACCCACTATCCATTCCTGAATACCCGTAGCCCAAGAAAGAGCCAGTTCTGTAAGTTATTTAGTCGGGTTGCAAAATGTTTAAATCCTAATTCTCAACATGCCCCATTTTATATTATTGTAAAGTGCCAAATGCCATATTATGTGAAAAGCCATATTGTATAAATGTCATTGTGTAAATGCCATATTATGCGAAATGCCATATTGTATTTTACTATATAATACGAAGTACTTATTATTTGCATTTGTATTTTTTAGCCTCATTGGCTTTGTTTGTTCGTAATAAATATCTGTCACATCATACGTCTTGTTGCTTACACATGTAGTACTTGATGTCGAGTCTTTTCATAACTACAGCTACCCTCAGTACATTTTCCCTTCCATTCTAATATTCCATCTTGGAATACTTTGCAATGCCTATTGGAGTCATTATATGCAATATGTATTAATGCATGAATGCATTAACTTCTGTAGTACTGTTTCCCCAGTAGGAGAAAAAGTGCGGAGAAGAATAAATAATAATAATAAATAATATCTACAAAATCCCCTGCAGGGGCCTCCTAATAAAGAATATCTAATAAATTAAAAATAAAGAATAAAGAAAAGCTACAAAAGCTATAGGAGGCCCTTTCTTGAGGGCCTCCTAATGAATAAACAATATCGTTGGGGCCTCCTAATAAAACCCAAAGGGCTCAAGGTTTATCAATTTGCCCCAAATGTGTGAGAATTGTGGAACGTTATCCCATATGTTATTAGAATGTGAGGGTTTAAGTGGAGCGCAAACTTCATAAATGGACTTGATGAGAGAATATGGAGTTGTAAATTGTATTAGCGTTAATCAAAAACTGAATTTCATATTTGACGGAGGTCAGATACTAGATGAAAATAAATTAATTCAAATTGTAGTGGCCTTATTTAAAATGTTTAAAATGCGCACACATAAGGCACATTTGAACTGATATGAAGCAGTCATCCTTCTGGGGAAATAACACAGCACAAATGTAACATACAGGTATTTTATAATCTCTTTTCGATAAAGCCACGTAAGATATGGCATTAATAGCTCTTCGTGAATGACACAACTGTTTTATACACAAACAATTCAAGGTAAAATCCATAATGCTGAGTAAGTCATTATCCAAGTATTTGAAACAGTGTAACAAAAAAATTATTTATGACACTGAGCTGCCCTCTATTTTGTTATTGTATAATATAAGTATGAATAACTTTATATTGGAGAGGTTAAGCTAACGATGTTTTTCACAACATAACGTGAACGCAAAGTACAAAATTTAACAAAGGAATGTATCGAGCGCTCATAGTTTTATGCGCGCTTAGTCTACTTTAGATACTCTTTCAGCTTCAGAGTTTCGGGTTTAGAACGGGAGATTTTGAAATTTGACGTTTGGTCAACGGGAACCATTTTACTCGTGTCTATTGAACACTATGCTGTCAGTTTTGATTTCGATGCACAGTTGAATTCTTGCTGAACACGATGATGTATGTCATGCATGATTTAGCGCCAAAAATCTTACGAAACGAGCTCGTTTGAAATATGTATTAGAAAACCAGCTATAAAACCGCATCGATGACATACTATAGAATCATTACACGCTATGGTGTAGTCTAAACAAACACTGGATTTGAACGGCTATTTATATGAGAAGGCTACATGAATTTGTATATGGTCGAGTGATACGTACAGGTTCAGTTTCGATTATATATGCAAAGCTTAACCTCTCAATTAAAGAGATTTCACACGGCGTGAAAGTACAACTCATAACCCCCTATCACACCAAACTAGTTCTTACCAATTCTTGCCAGTCCTACGAAAACGTCGTAAAACGGGCTCAATCTGGCTGTGGTCGGGAAATATGTCTAAAATAATTAGCTTCTTCGTTCATAAACAGTTTTCAATACGTCCATCTCACTCGCAATTCGTTCAGGTCGCACCATGTCGGTGTGTTACGTCGTATAACGCGTCTCTTAGTCTAGAAGGTCATCATGACCTGATTACAGAACGGTATGGTCGCCATCGAATTTTGAATCGATTCAAAATCCTAAATCACATTCCCCCTTCCGGGAAAGTCCATGAAGTTCGTAAACAGACCGTAGAACGTTGTAGCTACGTTCATTCAGTTCGCACACAGTTTAAAACCGATTCGGCAACGAAAGATTTTGAGCATGCTCTAAGTTCTGGAGGACCTACTCGTTCTAGTAGTTTCATGAAGTTTGTAAACAGATCCCAAATGGTTCTAAGTGGGTTCTTAGTACATCAAAACCGTTCGTGCACAGTTTAAGTCCGTTTTCGAGAACATAGTGAGGACTAGTTTGGTGTGATAGTAGGGTAACGTATACTTATAAGTAAACGTACAAGGTGTTTCATAATGTGGGCTTTTCGTCAGGAAAGATCTTCTCGGACTCTAATAAATAAAGGTCAATGGGATGGCATTTGTATTTTCTTGAGTTGTAGCAATGTTTATTTGATCCAAATGTGTTTGTCTAAAATAAAATAGGCTCATATACAGGGCGTATCAAAAAGCGCAACAAGTAGTTATCTTGTAAAATCACAAAACTAGTGATGACTACATCAATTTCATTCAATGTACCATAAAGCCAGGTCTCTCCTCTTTGTCATTCATTCACATGTGGTATTGGTTGGGTGAGAAATCCTTCCATTTGCACAATGGGTCAAAATCGGCTCTGGACCAAGTTTTAGATATTGAAATAATCAGTGCAAAGGCTAAGTGCGAACGGAAGTTCCCCTGACTTGAGTTGCTTTGACTTTTTCTTTTGGAGCTATCTCGGGAGCATCTGTGCTCACAATTCCTCCATCTGATATTGCAAAACCTCGAGAAAGAATTGCCCATGGGCTGCTTTTCTCTGCTTTAACCCACAGATGACTTAGGGCTGAACCATGCATGACGTAGACAGATGAGCGCATCTTTATTTGCAAGGAAATGGTGGCAATTTGGAGGGGTATAGGATGCATTCTTGCAAGAGTATGAGTATGAACACTTTACTGTCTATGTCACACCTGTCACACCTTCTTCTAATAGCCCCATATGCCCCTCGTACTGACTTTTGCAATGTTTAAAACTTGTGTCCAGGCTGAATTTTGCCCCATTTTGCAAAATTAATGATTATTCGGCCAGGGATGACTCCCTGTGAATGAATGATATTCCATTGCAAAGAGGAGTAATTTGGCTTTTTGGTACATTGAATGGAAAGGATGCAGTCAGCATTGGTTTTATGTTTTCTTTCAATATTGCATCGGGCTCCGTACACTGACTTTTGCGATGTTTATAACTTGGTCCCAAGCTAATTTTGGCCCACATTGCAAATGGAATGATTACTCGCCCAACCATGACCAAATATCAATGAATAATATATCATTGTAAAGAGGAGACAAATGGCTTAATAGTGCATTGAATAAAAGCAATGCTGTTATCACTGGTTTTGTGCTTTTCCGAGATAA